TGTGTGTGTGTGCGTGTGTGTGTGTGTGTGTGTGTGTATTACATGAATCATTCATACAAAAACAGATATAGAAGTTAATGATATAAATGGCGAGAATACATCTTCGCAAACAAATTTAATAAAGTACATTAACACCGAACCTGTAGATATTATGTTATGACAAATGTTTATAAATTCCAGTTGCATAAGGTCTTTTTTAAATTTTTTTACAAGCTTTCATCTGTTCATAGAGACATCATCAGGTATGGAAATAGATTTGTTTTTGTTTTTTACTTCCCGGTAATAACAGGACAAGGAAAGAATAGATGTAATCCGAAATGTGTTTTTAGAAATGTGCTATTGTTAATTGTAAGAAATTTTTCTTTTTGGAGCGTGCGGTCGCAACGCTGAGGTTGAATTTTTAAATTTTAAGATTGTGCGTTTTTGTACTAATATGGTAATAGGAGAATTCTTTTGTACTGGTAGGTTTTTCAGTCAGTGTGGCATGAACTAAATTGTTCAATAAATACAGGAATGTCACAGTAACTGATCCGACGTGCAACTTTCAGATAATAACTGTGACAAAAAAAATTTCTTACAATTAACAATAACACATTTCTAAAAACATATTTCGGATTACATTTATTCTTTCGTTGTATTATTTTAAAGCTTGTAAAAATTAAAAAGACCTTAAACTGGAATTTATAAACATTTGTCATAACATTCATCTACAGGTTCGGTGTTAATGTGTCTTTTATTAAATTTGTTTGCGAAGATGTATTCTCGCCATTTATATCATTAACTTCTATATCTGTTTTTTTGTATGAATGATTCATGTGATGGATATATATATATATATATATATATATATATATATATACAAAAAGTGAACATAGAAGTCAACACTTAGAGGCGACAGTCTGTTTCATGCTGAGACGTAATCGTCACGCCTGACGATTGCGTCTGCATGAAACAGCCTGTCGCCTCTAAGTGTTGACTTTGATGTTCACTTTGCATTTACACATGCTCTATCTCTGATAATGAGCATTTATCCATAAATATAGCACACCTTAAGACTATATTTCTTCATATATATATATATATATATATATAAATGTAAATGACAATATTAAATCTGTAATAGTTGACGACGTGTTTCGTCCAATGTGGACTTTCTCAAGGCAAAAAAAGAAAAAAAGAAGCGAAATGAATTTATTTAAACAAAGTAACTAATAATAACAAAAAACAGAATGTTCTTAGCAACTGGAGGAATGTAGAGTACGCTATTTTCATATTGTTAACTGAAAATAACGTCAGTTATTGTCACGTGTGGAGAATATTGTCATTATAGCTGTGTTAACGGATTCAACCATTTTCTTTTAATTTTATGATATTGTTATGTACATTTGTTTGGGAGAGCAGTAATTTTGTTAAGAAAGGTGAAATAGGGAAAAAACCTAGGCGTAGATTAATATTTGGGTAATATTCAATGGCGGCACTCTCTAGGATTTTCCTCCTGAGAGAGTTATTGTCTTTTTTTATGAGTGTAGCATTTTTAAAATCAAAATTTTGGTTGAACTTATTTCTATGTATGACTAGTGCATTAGCTAAGTTGTTTTTGTGAGGTCTCTTTTGTGCTCATAAATGCGTCTTTTTTAAATATATATATATATATATATATATATATATATATGTATGTATGTATGTATATATATGTATACGTACGTCTGTGTGATTGTGTGTATGTATGCGCAGTTGTGCGTGTCTATATAAATTAATTTTAAAAGCCAGTCACGCAAGTTCAGTATTCATATAACGGCCTTTGTTATCATCCGTGTGATGATTTTATACGTGAAAATTTCAACACGATGCCTTAGTTATTTTAAAAGCTCTGAATGTATTTAGTATAACGTGAACGTGATGCAATTTTTTAATTTCTAAATGTTTACGATGTCGCATGAATATGTCGTAGCTTGGATTCTGCGAATTTAAATACATTTTCGAATGCCTGTTCCGAAATAAGAAATTATTTTATTTGTTATTTGTATTTTCTTTTCTAAATTAATCTAGATATTTGTTAAAGTTCGAGGTCTTTATTTCATCTCATTTTTACAGTTTGTTTTACTATTTATAAATGTGTTATTCACTGGGAACTGGTGTATATTGCTGGAATCATAAACATTTATCTCTGCGTGCAAAGTAGATGAGATTAACACGCGTTAAAGTAATTTTTCTTTTCGTATTTTTGGGAAGCGCATTGCCAAATATAAAATACACATTCGGTAGCATTTACTTTGAATACTTAATCTTGGAAAACGCTAGGCAACGATCCATTGAATGCGGTTGTGAAGATATATGTGGAATGGTTTACAAAGTATTAACAATTTTAAGATCGGAAACAAAGAACATTCTCAAAGAAGTAAATTATCGAAAACCGATAAACCTTTGAAGGAAGAAGATTCTGTAAAATCTTGTAAAAAAAAAAAAAAGCATTTTGTAAATTGTTTCACGGTTGTTATCA